TTACTTGGAGCCCCCTGCCAGCCCCCTTATACATGTTCCGTGTGAAGTCGGGGTGAGCTGATGTAAGAACACAGCGTGAATTATTCAGGAAAGTTTGCCATAAGTGAGCGGGAAGGGGTGGTGACTGTCTTTTACATCCTGCAACCAGCAAACGACCATAAACTGTACGTGCCACTGCTACGATCCCCGTGCATATAATGAAACTGCTTTATTATGTTTTCTGTTTGCCAGTTTGTAGTATGTTCTTCTCTAATCTTTCGTTGACATTGTGATTGTGTCCAACTACACAGAAGCATTGATAAAAATGCTAAAATTCTCATTTTAGCATTGCATAGCAGACTCTGTTGTCTGACAGGGATATTCGCCTGCCGTGCGGTGAATGAACAACCAACTCAGGAGCATTTCAGGTGCAGACTACCTGACATTGTCTAGAAATTTTCAGGAGTGAAGATGTCAAAACGGCTTAAGATTGGTTGTAACTTTACGTTAGCCGATTAGTAATTTGTTTTCAGGAGAATTCTAATTTATTACTCAGATCAGCCTCATCAGCTTGGCTCAATTAGACGACTAATTCCAACTCAGAAAGTGGGAAACTAGCAGCATAAATTAGCTAACAGTTTGTCCACGTCAGTGAGAACATCAGCTAACAAAACAAGATTTAGGTGCCCCCATGAATCCAATAACCTGCCAATGTTGATCCTATACTTTAACCCCTGTTTCAGTCACATTCCCATTTTGCCAGAGGTTTCTGTAGACAAAAAGATATCCTTCTCTATTAACAGGTTCAGTTGTCTTGTGATAGAAACAAAACTATATTTGTTAATGATAACTATCAAGAGGCCGGTTCTATTAACACGGGAGGGGTCAAGATGTGTTTTTAACCAGCCAAGACTCAGCAGAGTAACGAGCTGCGTTTTTCCCACTTTAGAGCCGATGTTGTCTGTCACTGTTTCTTATTTTCAAACCAAAATAAAAAGAAATGAAAGAGATTCAACGAATTTAATTTTGGTCATGTATTTCAATACACACAGAGATCTTTATGAAAACAACCTGGGGCCATTTTCCAAGGACTGCTTCCATGTACAGTACAAATGATTGCAGTGACACCTTTCACAAGTGATTGTTGCCCACAAATTGCAAGTCCTACAGGGCTGTTGCAAGCTCATGCAGGGTTTGCAAGTATGCCGTTTGTTTGGATTTGTCAAACGTGCCAAAGTACGCAAAGATAAATGATTTAATGAGGCTTGCATGTTGATGGGCTGGGCAACACTAATGCCTGTTGGACCCAGTTTGGTTGTTTGGTTTGGTTTATGAAAATTATATTTTTTCAAATTAGCCAGCTTTGTGTCGACTTGCTCTCAGTAATGACATTGTGTGTATCTGTGAAGGTTTGAAACTTCAACCTCAAGTTGATAGGGGCTGGAAAAACCATAAAGTTCAGTTGCATTTACACCCAGAATAACCAGAACCAGATGATGCTCTTAATAAGGCCTTAAAACATGTTTCTGAAAAAATTGTTTTTGTCATTTCATCTGTTTACAGCTGAACCATGTTTACAACTGTTGCAACAATGCACTGAACACAATGACGTACCTCCCAGGAGTGTCATTCGATGGAAGTTAATTGAAAAATAGCTTAGTTGACAGTATACAGCGGCTTTTTGGAACAGACAGACACATGGAAAGCCCCCGTCGCTTATGCACTGAAGCTGTTTTTAATTCCAAGTCTGGGAAAAGTGAGCGTCAGTTTTGTGTTGTGTGTCGGTGTGTATGCATGTGTGTCGGTGTGTTTGTGTGTCAGCAGGACCAGAACCTGGTGACCCAGTCTGACCTGCCCAGCCAGGTCTCATAAAAGCAGCATTGAGGCCTGCAGGCCTGGAGGCCCAGAGACACAGCACTGCTTTTGTTGCCCTAACCAAGGTGTATTCCCCCTGGAGGGAGAGTGAGAAGGCGGGTGAAGGCAGTGGGGGTGTTTCTCATTAAAGAGAAAGAAACCATTCCTCGGCCTGTGTGCACATTATTTCATAGTTTATTAGTAGAAATGAAACCGTTTCCCTTTTTTGTTTTTTTGTGTTGTCTGCAACCATTCTGCTATTTTTCTGCCCTCCTCCCATGCTGCTTTACGACAGTCCGTTCTTTCTTTTATTAATCCAGTTTTCCAGTATGGCTCTAATTAATAGGACTCAGTGCACTTCTTACACATGGCTTGCCAGATGCTTGAAACTCCTTCTTGTGAACTCCCCCTCCCTTTCTTTTCGTCTGTTACCCTCCATCTTTTTCCATCTTTTTTTTTTTTTCAGCTTTCAACACTCGTTTTTTTCTTCATCCCGATCCTTTTATACATCTGGCTTTCTTACTCCTCATTTTGTTCTTTGCATTTGATTGGTTAAAGAGTCAACTTAGACAACTCAAAGGCTCTGCATCTGTGGAAGGATCCTTCAACCTATTTACTCCGTCATTCTTCAAGGTCAATTGCAGCTTTCAATGGGGCTTCAGCATGTGTGAACGCAGTGTGTTTTCCACTGATTGCTTGCCCATGAACATGATTAAAGTCACAGAACATCTGCGTGTGTTCACTTCTGCAGCACTACATGTCTGTGCTTGTGTGTGTCTGTGTTCTGCATTTAGCGGGGCTTCGTGTATGCATATGTTTTGTAAAATGTGACCATTCCACACCACGTATGTAATCGCTTTTATAATCACAGCACACTTTGTCCAACATGTGTTTGACAGTCTTTGATCGTCAAACACAAAAGTTCTTTGTGAAAATAGTTGCAGGGACTCTCCCCAACTGGCCCTCGCAGTGAAGAAAAAAACGCAGCAGAGCCAGGCAGCTACAGAAAATATGTCAATATGGGAAATATGACTTTAAAAACAACACTCGCTGCACTGACTGTGTGGCTTTGTGTCTGAATGTGTAGTTTGCACTGTATGGGCATGTGTGTGTGGGAGGAAATAACTGCTTTTACTCAAAATGATGGAGGAGATTTGACGTCCAACCATAGCGGAACTAAACGGGCATGTTGATAAATTTAATGGTTTGCCCATTCAATTTAAATCAATCATGGTACAAAATAATGTGGAAACACAACTCAATATATTGAAAAACAATTCAACAGTCAACTTCAGTCCCCAAGTTTAAACTTTTTTTTTAATGTCTCAACAGAATCTGATCAGTTTAGTTTTCATGCAGGTAGGTTTTCTTTCAGTGCTGGGATCATGTTAGGGGTCCCTCTTAGGGCTGGGCAATATATTGAGTTTTAAAAGAGATATAGTAAGAAAATGTTATTTATATCGCTAGTTTATGTTGCATTGAAATAATGTTACGTGTCTCTTCAGTAGAGACACCAGCAAGCTTATTTCTCTTCTTGTTGTCTGTCCAGCGTCACTTTGCTCCGAGATACACAGCTGTGTGTGTCTTGTTATGCAGGAAATGATCTTTTTATTTCTTATTTAAGTAGCATTTTTATTCAATGTTATTTTTCATTTCACAAAGAGGTATTTCATTTTTTCATGGCCATGTTGACTCTGTGCAGCTTTGGCACATTTAGAGTTGACTTCTAACTGAAGTTGTAATTGTTATTTCATACAGAATTTTTTTTTATTGAGATATATATTGAGTATTGCCATTCAACTAAAAAATATGGACTTACAGTATGATTTTTGGTCCACATTCTTATCCCCTAATAAACCTTATGGTATATTTTAATACTTATTATCTCACACATGTTTTATCATAGTCTACCTTTGTATCCAGAAACAAATGGCGTTTTTTTTATTCACACAAGGGTAAAAAATAGATCTATCAAAAAATAGATAGATAAAACAATGTTAAGTGTCCATGTCTCTTTTTTTCTAGCCAGTTTTTTCCTTCAGTGATGTGGAACATTTTATTTTACATGATGTGTGGGGCTGAAAGCTGCAGGCTTCTTTTTTTTTAAGATTTATTTTTAGGCTTTTTGTGCCTTTTAGTGGAGACAGTGGATAGAGCTGGAAATCAGGGAGAGAGAGTTGGGAATGATATGCGGGGAAGGCGCCACAGGCTGGATTTGAACCTGGGCCGCCTGCTTAGAGGACCGTGGCCTCCATACATGGGGCGCGTGCACAAACCACTGAGCCACCAGCGCCCCAAAAGCTGTAGGCTTTTGAGTGTGTCTGAAGATTTTCACATACAATGTTACTGTATTTGTACTCCAGAAAGTCTGGGTAATTTTTATGATTCACTTTGTTTTTTAGCTGAGTCTGTGTATTCCAGGATTTTCTAAATCCATAATTCTCTCACTCTACCTCTCACCCACCCTGGGTGTTTGATCCCTGTGCTGAAGCAGGCCCAAAACAACAAGACATTCTTTGGCAGAGCTCTATTTACCACAGCTCTACCACGTAGAGTTAAGCCCTCTCCACTCATGAAATCACTGAAGAGGATGAGTTTGTCATACAGATATCAGAGAGACGATGACTGCCCTCATTTAACGCACGGGCAGGGTGACAGATCCACAAGGTAAAGCACTGTGATCCTAACAAACCCTCAGCTGTGTGTGCAGCGTGCATTTTTTTTCGCTTCCACTCAGGACCGTCTGGTTTACCGTGTAGGTTCAGAGAGAATAAGTGGGCTATGTGTTTCTTAAGCTGTAAAGGGTTTATTGTACCCATGTTGTGGTTGGCCGTTTTCTGGCAAGCTGGCAGAAGAAACAGAGAGCTCCTTATACTACAGTGGTGATTAAAATCATATGGCACTAACTGAAATCTAGGCATTACTTTGAAGACAGACAAAAAAGTGTTGTACAAAATCTGCTTCCCAGCTTTGTCAACTGTTTTTCACCACTCTATCTCTTGGTTTTTCATCTTCCTTTCTTTTATATGTATGCTTTTGAGTGAATTCAGGTTTAGTTTTGGTTAAAAAAAAATCTGACTCACATTCTTCTTTGATTTTAGGCAACTTTATTCTCTGGGAAAAAAAACAACTCACCCCTCTTTCTTCTCTCTCTCTTTCTTTTACAGAGAGCCTGGACCTGGTCCAGGTGCCTTGGTACCACTCTTCCTCCCTCCTCATCATCCCTCTCACCTCCTTGCAGCCTGACGTTTGTGGAGCCAGCAGCTGGGGAGGGGCTGGATGGCACCATCCTATGTCAAACTCTATATAAGCTCTTGAGAAGACAAAGAAGGGAGAGGGGACAACCAGACAGTCAGACAAAAGTCACCTGAATCACCAGCAGCACTTCTAAAGATGGCAACCAACAGGGAGCACCAACTGCGTCACATCACTGGCTTCCCTCGTGCCATGTACCCCTTCACCTTCAACTCCATGCGGAGCCACTCCCCCTTCGACCTGCTGGCCAGTAGCCACCTCTTTGGCAGGTTTGGGGCGGACCTTCCTAAAGAAATGGCTGCGTTGTGTGAGTAATATAAACCACTTTATAACTTAGAACAGATTGTCCATTTGATGCGTGTGAAATAGTGTTTAAACCTTTGGGCAATTATTTTAGTTTGGGTTGGCAGATCTGGAAGGATTCTGGTCAGAGAATCCGGACAGGAGATGGGATTCAAAGCTCAAGGGGTTTTATTCTGTGAAGACAGGCAGACAAACATAGGCAGCTTTGAACAAGGGAGCTTGGCTTTTCCATGACTTCGTTTCGTGTGGGTATTCGTGGTTTTGTGTAGATGTGAGTCTCTGTCTATGTACGTGTGTGTGTTTCTAAAGGAAGAAAAGAAAGAAAGAATATGTATGCACATCCTAACAAATATAATGATGCCCCTTTTGTAACAGCAAGGAATCTTTACAAATGTTTCAAACAAGAACTCAATGGAATTTAGCTGGAATTCAAATGAAACGTATCAACTTAAATACGTACGTAAATGTGAAAAATAAACGTTCTCTTCTCTTCATTAATGCACAAACTTAGAAGAAGAATAATGTCCAGGCCGCTCCTGGTGCTGCTTTGCTTCTCTTGTGCTCTGCTGCATTGAATAGTTGCTCTTGGTCTTTAAGACGCCCGAGCCCGTTAACTCTGAGCAGGGCTCGTTAAATCCAGGCAGGCTTTCACACAGTATGTATTTATATTGTCACCATATATACTTATAATGGGCACATGGATGATTATATAACCTTCAGAGCCAAATAAAGCATGATTGAGACTTAAGAAAAAAAATAAAAATCAAAGATAGAAAATATAATATGAGTTTCAGACGGTCCAAGGTTCAATCAGGAGGCGAGAAATCTTAATCAGACACCCTTTCACATGACACGATAGAGGACCAAATATCAGTTCCCTGTCCTGTTTTGTGTAAAACAGCGTGGGCTCTCCACAATTTTGAAATAGCCTTCAAGGAAAATTTTAAGATTTTAATCAGGCTTTAAATCATGCATTGAGAAGGGGAGAGGAGAAGAAGGGGAGTAGAAAACATGGGAGGAGCGGAGAAAAGAAGAGGGCTTTTTTTTTTTTTTCCATGTGGTTAACCAGAAGGATGGCATAAAGGGCAGCATGGAAAAACAGCAAACATTACATTTCCTCATGACTAATTTGTTGCTTTCCACAGACTCTTCTGAACAGCCAGAATCAGTTTTCTTAAAAAAGAAAAAAAGATGGGGAGTAAGGGAAAATGAATGAGCGTCTCACTTGAACTGTGTTGTACAGAGACTTTTTGAGTCACAGGGGGCACTGTTGCACTTCACAGTGACAGATACAGTCAGCAAGACCACAGGGAGAGTCATTGCAATGTTTTAAACACACACCGGCAACATTATGAATTAAGAAAATTGATTTGAAGAGTTGAAAAAAATCAATGCAGCAGTATAAAACTATTTGTATTTTTATCCATAAGTTAATCAAAGTTTCCTACTTTTTACTACTACATGTATTTATGTGGTAGTAGTCCCATCCTTTTGATCCATATTTATCCATATTTATTATTGATTTTCTGGTAACTGTGCAGTTGTAATCCCACTCTTCACACAGAAACACGTTTGATGAATCTATTATCCTGTAAGTCTCCCTTGAGGCAGGGGGAGAGATATTCTGCTGAGCACTCCTGTCAGTCACGGTGTGTGTGTGTGTGTGTGTGTGTGTGTGTGTGTGTGTCATTGTGTGCACACTTATAGTGATGTGTTCAGTGAGCAGCACTTATCTGTTTATCTAAGGGCTTTTTGTGGAGACTCAGTCCAACATCTAGGCTAGTAGCGCTCAGTATGTCATTACATCTTTTGACATGCTGCCTCTGGGCCTTATATACTCGTCCAGAGAGAGAGATAGAGAGATATGAGGGGCGGCTGTGAGTTTGTCAGGACAGACATGTGACGAAACAGGAACACTGACAAACATTTATCTATGACATTTCTACCTCATTTCTAACCCCACAAAGGGTCCAGTGCTTACTCTACCATTCATTTTGGGTGGCGGCCCACCACCCCAACCTCCCACCACTCCAAATGAAAAACAAAAAAAAATGTATTTCAAGGAATTTACATAATTGATTTGCTCTCAGGTTATTTCAGCAGAGCATGAAGTCTTTTACACATTTCACTGTACTGGTCACCCAATTTAGAACTACGGTACATTTCCAGAATGCCGGTACAACTTGTGATTGGGTTGGCAGCTTTAACGCAGCATGTACGGTACGTTTGCCGTGAGCCCACCTCTTGTTGACTTTGCTTTGGCACACAGACCAAGTGCTCTGATGTACAAGCTAAACAAACAGGCCCTTATGAGTAAATCAACTTTTTTTCTGAGCTGTGAATACCGGGGTGCACATTACAAACAGACCAAAAAGTTTTCCTGTGAGTTCTCCAAGTTTTGTGATAAGCAGAATCTGACTTGGAGTCTGTGGTTCTGCCTCTTAGTGTCAGATTACACACACGAGGGCTGTGCATTGCACAGATGGTAACAGCAAACAAGGACTCTCACACATAAAAAATCACTTACTTACTTAGTCTTACTCATTTATCATAATGAATGAAATAGTGTTCAGATATTTAAAGTTTGATTAAGATTGTGTTCAAAAAACATTAACTTTGTCCAAATTGAATGAATCTCTGATAGCTACTTTACTTTTAAATATGATTAACTTAATATTCAGTCCCCTCATGTTTACAGCATGTGAGCAAAGCCCAAACCCGCTGACGACGTATTGTATTGTAAAATATCTAAAATACATTAAGCACATAACCCGCCTGATCAGATACACAGCTCGCTTGAGACAACAGACAACATTTAAGTTTAGCTTTGGGAAAATACTGGGTGTGGTTAATAGTTAGCCTTTCATAGGACTTAAGCTGTACAATCTGCCTTACAGTCCTATCAGAAAATACTGATTGCGCTGGGTTGTGTTGTTCACTCTAGGTCAGGTTCCCTAGAGTCTGATTCCCTGATAGTAAGCAGAGACATTCAAAACTGTTGATGATTCGTCTCCTCTGTATTTGAAGAAACAACACATGGAGAAAGTACCTGTTAGCAGAGATTATCCAACATATATTCTCCTTCTAGTTACCTTTCAGAGCTTTCGCACATGCTTTAGAGTGAGCTACATTTGTGAACACAAATTTAGCTGAATTTTTAATTTGACTTTACCCCGTATATATCCTACCAGCCAGGTGAGCAGGTTTAAGAACGCGGCAGAAAATAATGAGGAGTCGGAGGAGATGATGACATTTATGTCCTGACTGGCACGTTTCCTGTTCGCCACGATGCTCTTCTCCGCTCTGTTGTTGATATTGTGTTAGTGTGAGACGACAAGAAACATTGATATAGAAGAAAAACAACTTTCATGACAGCGTCGTACTCTGTTGTTTCGTAGGCCACCTCCCTGTCTTTCTTTTAACGTTATGTCTTGCCTCCGGAGGATCCCCCTCCCCCCTGCCCCCATGTCGACAGGGATAGTCTCTCATTGTGAAGGACATGTGTGAACAACCAACTCAGGATGAATTTAGGGGCAACCTACTTAAAATTTTCTAGAAAATTTCGGGAGCGCACACACACGATACAGCTCCTTTCTGATAATCAACTTGTGAATCGCCCGATACCCAGTACCCGTAAGAATCTTGTATAACCACTAAGGGCCTGGTTTACTAAGGTCCCAAGTAAAGAGTACTAAATTGCGTGTTCACTCCAAAAATGTGCACGTTTGGTTGGTGGGCGTTTTGCGGGTAATCTACTAGGAAAATTTGTGTGAATGCTCTGAGTGGTATTATCCATCTCTAGCACCATGCTGTTGTTGTTGGCTATCATCATGGGCTACATTACCTGAAAGGTAGGCCTAGTGTGAGTGCGCCCTAACTCTACTTGCCTGAGTTGGTCAGTTTGTCCGTCCATCTACTTCAACCTACAGGCTTTGAACGCCATAGAAAAAACAGTAGTTTATTTATCATGTTCAGAACTTGTTTATCCATTGGTTAGATTTGATGTAATTATTTTAATAACTCTGTAGACATGCCTTCTGTAATCTGATAGTTTGTCGTGGCATCTGGCCAACAAGTGTTTTCGGCTCTGATTATTTTCAAGGAGGACCACTAACAACACACACAGTTTGGCCCATTCTGTAGCTTGAAGAGAAGCTACAATCATGACTCATCTCTCATTGGAGCAAAGTGAACAATGTGATACCAAATTACAGTTGAGGCTTAAGTTGGATTTGCAAATCAATTCAAACCAGGTCCTAATCAGTGTGTGGGGAAGACGGGACTTTATTCCCTACTGAGATGGAACTCGAAACATCCCTGGACTTGAAATTAAATGATATGAACATCAAAAGCTCCCTTAGCTCCCTGAGTATTCAGTCATACAGTAAGTCCACTGCTTATTCTAATAACACAGGGGAAATGGGAATTATACCCAAGGAGCTCCTTTTTTTCGAACCAGTTCTTCCTGGACTCATGATACAATACATGATACAATCTCTGGGTTTTCTCAGGATTCATTAAATATTTCTCTCAAAGTGTTTAGGAACTATTTATTTTGTCTTTTTTTCTGACATTTCTGAACTATGCAGCCATTTGAATCTTTGTTATTGTTGTGAAAGGTGAAAAAAGGGATTTGAGTGATCATGAGGAAAATAAATGAATTTTCCACAATGAACACAATGTCCTCTCGTAATTTCTGCTCTAGTCACATCTTGTACTCGTGTGTGTGTGTGTGCGCGTGCGTGCACTCTGTGTAAAACACTCACACACACAATTGTTTGTCATCCAAACCATCCAAGCACATTTACACACACACACACACACACACACACACACACACACACACACACACACACACAGAAAGCACACACTTTAACTGCCACAACATAGCCTTCATTTCAACATATCACAAACCAGCAGTATCGTACTCCTTTGCTTCACATTTGTGACTACATTTGAGCTTGCATGTTGCATGTTGCGCTTGCTGATGACAGCAGAGAGACT